TTGGCATGTCAAGAGGCGGAGCAAATAAATACAAGCTTACAAGTTGCACCAGTATAGATTGCTCATAGGACTCGTGTGCCTTAGTGGTGTCGAGGTGGAGCAATTTGGTGCAAATTACAAGATATTTTATATGTTATATGATTCGACATTGTTACTCATATGACTTGTGTATCTTAATGATACACGAGGTGAAATAACGTAATGCAATTTATAGTAGGCCCTCACTCCTATGACTCAAGTACCATAGATTCCTCATGATAGTACAGTGGGCAATAATACAAATAAAAATAGAAAAGTACATATTTAATACATAGTTTAAAGCAAAGGATTTTAATAATTGTTTTTATTTTATATTACTTTATTTTACAAATGATTTATTTAGATGTTTGTTGTTATATACAAATGTTTATTTTATATGTTAATTATTTTATAAGTTGACTCACTAAGTCGAATACTTAACGTGTGATTGGTTCAAGTAGCAGGGAAACCGAAGTCAACAGAGTAAGGAGTCAAGCATGACATCTTATATTTTGACAGACCAGTTCAGACGTCCATAATTAATATGATATCTTTTTGATATTTTTTATATTCATGGTTGGCATGTATATATTTTATTTTGATGCTCTGATTCGAATATGCCTGACCTCTTTTGATCATATGGTGAATGTATAATATTTTAAATATTTTATATTATAGTTTTAAATGCGATTATTTATTTTAAATGTCGATTTTAAATGAAACAAAGTTTTATCGACTTTTGAGAAGTATATATTTTATACATTTGATGTGATATTTATACCTTATATATGAAACCGTATACGGGATAGGATGTTACAAAACGGACGCTTGTATTTGTCTAGTTCAAAAATAATACGATAAATGTTTTATATGGGAAAAATCATTTTTCCCGCAACCTTGCAAGGAAGCCTCTATAATTGGGACATCTTAAAACCCTTATGTTTCCTATAAAACATGCAAGTGCTCAACAATCGGCACAAAATCATTACTGCAATTTTAAACCCTTAATCAGCCTCAGATACCAACTTCAGAACTTAAAACCATGTTTCCCGGTGAGTTTAACTACTTCAGATGAAGCCGACTCCGACGAGCGGAGACAACAGAATGATATCACGTGATCTGTTAGAATCAAAATCCATTAACAACTGATAATAATTATAGTAGATGTAGATCTATAAAATAGTGGAGGTGTGAACATTACAGGAAAAAAGGATCAAGGGGCATCATTTTCCTGTGTATAAATATAATCCGTATGAGCAGCCAATGATCTTCTGATCACACATTCTTCATCATTTAAACCTCCACACTGCCCATCAATGAAACTCATCCATTCCTGTAAATGGTTGACATGAACGAGAAATTCCGTAAGGAAATTCCCACCTAGAAAACCAGGATTTTCCCGGAAAAAAGAAACTAACTTACTGTCGAAGGAAATGGCAGGTTCTGAAGATCATCGGCTCGTTGCTCTTCAAGAGGCCTGGCTTTTGCAGTACTCGAGAGCAGAAGTAAAGCCAAGATCAAGATAATGAAGCTCTTTGTCATTTTTTTGTTTTCAGTTTAAGAGAGTTTTGGAGAAGATGAGCTTTGTCATAAGATAAAGAGTGATGTTCTTGGAATCATATTTGGTATGTGAATCCTAAAATATCGTAGTATTTGATATTTTATTTATAGTTTTTCCCAATCGAATTTGGTGTGAGATTTCATGAAGCTTAAAATGGGGATGGAATCACAATGACAGCCAAGAAAGTCAAAAGCTTTTTGAGGTTTAGTGGGACAGTTTCCTGGGAAACATAGCCATTGATGAACATCATAGGGAACTGTATTTTGATTCTCCTTTTTTTGTAAATTGATTGTAGGTATAATGAATATAATTATGATGACAGCAAGCTGTAAAGTCATATGCATGCACGTGATTCATAAAATGTAAATTTATTTTTAAAACTATTTTTACGAATTGTAAAAGTATACAAGATATTGCATTGTTTTATTTAATTTTAGGATAAATTATATGTTTAGTAACTAAACTATCAGTTTTGATATGTTTTAACACCTAAGCTTTTAATGTTTCCAAAACCATACATAGAGTTTAATTTTTATTTTATTTTAGTACCACCGTTAAAGACTTTATTTTTTGTTAAAAACCATACAAAGCAATACTCTATAGTTAAATACCTATTTTATAACTTTTAATAATCGAATAACTTAATAAAATAGTATCTTATAGTCGAATAACCATTTATGTACTTTACCCAAAAAATTATTCTAAACTACTTATAATAAGTACTATAATAAATCAACTTGAACTGGAGAACCACCGCTGATTAAACATGTCGAGGACAAAATATGTATATTTTTTTATTGTTTGGGGTATTTTTTAAAATTTCACCTATAATCACTGAATTATAAGTGGATTTTATTTTGATTATCAATCTTTTAATTTTATTAATCAGACCATCTAACTACTTAAATGCCATTAATATTTTATTGCTAACATTTGAAGGAGGAACTAACATGATAATTAAAAAAATTATATAATTACATATTTGATTCTTATTATTTGTATATTTAAAATTGATTTTAATTTACTCAATTAATTTAATTCTTTAATCATTGGAAGAAAAACCTTAAAATAAAGCAAGGGGAGTATCAAACCTAAATCCAAAGGAAAGTTGGAGAAGTTGAGACATAGATTCCAACATTGTATATCTTTTAGTTTTATACATTTTTAGAATCGTTAAATTGAGAAAAATCAAATGTTGAGATTAATTCTTTTTTTTTTCTAATAAATATCTTTTTAATTTTTAATGTTAATCTCGGTTTTTAATTTCTCTAATTCAACCATTCTAAAAAAAGTGTGAAACTAAAAGATTTTTGCACAATATAATTGGATCATGCCTATATATAATCAATGAAAAAAAAAGGAATTAAAGTAGTAGAGGGGATTTGAAACTAAAGCCGTCAAAAGAGGTTAGAAACACCTAAACCACTAGACCAAATCTAATAATATGATATATTTTTCTATATTTTTTAATTAAATTTATATTTTATCCAATAAAAATAAAAAATATTTATTTATATGTGTTATATTTAGAGATGGCAAAATTGACCCAAACCCAATTACCTGAATCGATTTATTCAAATCCGATATCAATCCAAATATGATTATCAAATTTGATCTGAAGCCCGAACCATACTCAATCAAAAAATTAACTGACCCAATATGGAACTATATCCAATTTGATCCAAACCGAAAGCAATCTGAACTGAAATTTAGTCCGAAGCAAATTTAATTCGAACTGAAAACAACTCAAACAAAAAAAAACAATCTAACTTTAATTTATCCAAATTTGATATGAACCGAACATTAACCCGATTTTTCAACTTGATAAATGAGTATAAATGAATGAATGATTTATTGTTAATATATATATATATATATAGACAAAGTTATTAATAGTAAAATAATACATATTTTATTCTCCTTTTGAATTATACTCCTTGTTAACCATCAATTTTGATAATAGTTTAATGAATATCAATATCAACTTTTGATAATAGATTAATATAGTTTTTTCGTTTAAAAGATTATATTTATATTTGATTCAATAATTTCTAAAAAAATATAAAATAAAGTTATTACCTAAGATTCTGTTTTATATGATAAACATCAATTGTCATCAATTTAGATAATATATTACAATTAAATTTAAAAGGAAAAAATTATTTTTTCATAAAATCATTTTTTATAGGAGCAACTAATTTTATTCAAAATAGGAAATATCTCATATTACAATAAATATTTACAATCGTAAATTAAGCATATAATTAGGAAATTTTCCTATAATCATTTAAATTAAACAAATAACGTAAGTTCACATAAAGACCATACAAGGAAAGATTAAATATAATCAAGAAACTCGAACAAAGATAGAAACAAACAGATCTGATCGCATCGACAACTGAATCATAAAAGGAGATCAAGTTATTAAAAAACTACCGATAAATCACAAATCATACTTGAACGACGTGAAAAAAATCCACGAACGCAAATCGAGTATCCAAATCCAATCCGAGAGTCCAAAGTAGGGAATATCACAATATATCAAATAAACGTCATATTGATCAGTCACGACGATGTCAAATCAACCCTTAGAAAAAAGATAAATAAAAAATGGCCAAAGAAACGAAAAACATGCAAAAAAAACATAAGAAAATATGCCATAAAGACAGATGAAAACGTACAACACATATAAACTTATTAAAAATAAAAAAGATACTATATAGAAAAGAAAAAGAAAATAAATAATATCGTTAATCGATAATCAATATTAAAGTTAATTTCACCGCCCATCAATAAATACGAAAGAGAAAAGAGATGAATGACACACTAATGAGATAAATTTTAGTTTTTAGGGTTTACTTGATATATATATATATTACATAAAACATAAATTAACATAAAATACAAATATCAAATAAAGAGATTTTACTAAAAAATGATACGTAGTTACTACTCTTGCGTAACAAACTCAATTATAATGTGTTTCTCAATAAAAATTTCTAAATTAAAGATCAATAAAATGGTCCCAAACAGTCAAATCCAACGCTTGACTAAAAATTTAACGATCTGATATTATATGAATCGAAAAATAACCCATTTGATAAGCACCCTACTCTTAAATTGATCCACCCGAACTGATACCCGACTTGATCGAATTTACCATACACTCGAACTAAATCCTAATCATATCCGATCCGACCTGAATAAAATTAAACCGAATATAATCTCGACCTGAAATAATTCGACCTAAATCCGATCTGAATTACTCATTTGCCAACTCTAGTTATATTAGGTGTGAGATTTTATTCTAAATATTAGATCAAATTTTAAATTAGGTGAAATTTCTTTAAAATATAATTAAATCGAGTGATAAATATATTAAATCAAATTAAAGTGGATAAAAAACTAGAGGTCTATAACTATCCTTAGGAATTAACGACAGAGAAACACTGTTCTCTAGAAGGCGTTCTAATCTCGAACACAGTATCAGCAACCCGATTTGAGGTTCCGGTGTTGTTTCAAAAATAAGTAAACTAATTAAAATTGGAAAGGGATGGGGATGGGGATCATGATGATGCTGGTGTCGATCATGCAGTGCTTTATGGATTTGGGGCTAGCTGGGATTTCTATGATGATTGGGTTGGGAATTTTCGCTTCCATTGCTTCAATTCTTTGCTCCGCTGCTTTCTTGCTCCATGCCATTGCCAAAGATGTCTCTTGATTTCAGCTTTTGAAGCTCAGGTACTGGCTTAATTATTATTTTTCTGCTTTGCTAATTAGCTTCTGGTGGTTTCTGAAACTTCCTTGTAGTTTAAAGAGGAGATTTTTCTGATTGTTTTTATTATATTTTAGGTTAAGTTCTGTCCATAGACTGCGTGTCTACTTAAATCGGGTCAATTTTTATCCTGAAATTTTAGTATTCTTACTCTAATTTGGTGGTTTTTAGTGCCAAATTCATAACTAAGTCTAGTACAAACTACAGAGACTAATGATAGAATTTAACCCGTATTTTATTACCAGGAAACCAGTAGAACTCTAATCCTATGATACAATTGCAAACATGCACCTCAATCCAGAAAAATTGAGCTTAACTGTGGCGGTCAAACACCAGTAGCTATCATCTCCGTGTTATAATCATGATTCGAATCCTGAACCTTGCCAATTTAGAATTTGTTGTTTTGCAACTTCGAAACACCATATATGCTGCAGGTGGCAGCCTAGACATTGCTCGATGAACAACCCTCGTTGTCGAGCTCATTGGCGAAATATTAAAGATAACACATACTTCTTTTGATCATGTCTGGCTTTCAATGTTCACTTCTTTGCTTTTTTTTTTAATCTTCTGTAGATTAGCAAGGACTTGGAAGAACAAATTGTAACCTCTGTAAGTAACTATGGTGGATTCAGGTGTCGTAAATGTTCCACCTTCAAACTCGCGGTTTGTTGTTCCTTTGCTGCGGTTGCAATGTCGGATGTGTTTGCTTCTCAGTCTTTATGTATGTGGTGAAGGCTTCTGTAATGGATAATGCTATTGTTGGCTTTTGAGAACCAGAGGCAATTTTCTTGTAAGATGTTTGACATTTTTCTGCTAAATTCATCCCTCCCACATTGGCAAGAGAAAAAAAAATGTATTCCTTGTCTCTGCTTCGAAAATGACTTTTTTGTTAGAGATTGTGACATGAACTTTGTTAGGCCTAGTCTGTGGTTTTAAGATTTTTCACGTAAATATCTGTGTGTTTTTTTAACTTTGATTTGCGATCGACTGCTTGCTGTTATCTTCCATGATTCGTAACAACTTTCTTTTGAACTTTCATTTCTGCTTTGACCCTTGTTGATCACATGTTTCTCAAGTTTCTTTGTCGAGATGGATTTGACATTTTCATGTTCATAATAATTCTGATCCTTCCCTGAATTTCACCGATTAGCGGCTGAAACTTGGCCCGAATGAGGTATTGGAAGCTGTTGAATCATCGATCGTACCGGCAGAAGAGCTTCTGCAACTACAATAGAATTGCCCAGTTTTACTTCCAAATGCTATTGTTTACAAATATTATATTTGGTAAAAGGTAAGATAATTTTGTTAGTATTTTTCATCAAAACTGTATACTATTCTGCGAATAACTAATCAAACATATTCTTTCAGTTTCATTATTGAAAAACAAAGCATGGACTGTTTCCCGAGAAAATTTTGGATAAAAAAATCAAAACTTTAATCCAAAGACAAAATGGGTTTGATTCAGTATATCAAATCAATTGACTAGGAGGAAGAAGCTCGTCCTGCTTATGAAGATTTCGTTGGGAAGTGTTGATACCATATGGGCCGCAGTGCCTCTAACAGCTGCCGTTACATGTGAATCTCGGTGATCCGACAACTCGGCCAATCCGAAATCTCCAACAATGGCATCGTAGTAATCATCAAGAAGTATATTTGCAGCCTTGACATCCCTATGAATGATCTTCGGATCACACTGCTCGTGCAAGTAATTGGGTGAAGCTCCCAATGCTATTCTTTTCCTGGTTCCCTTATCTAATGCCTGCTAGTATGGCAGAGGAAACTGAAGCTACTAACGTTATTCCATGGTGAAATTCACCTTATTTAGGAACAAAAGAAGTTGAATCATATCTATTGAGCGACCTCAATGTTAAAAAAAGAGAGTGATGTTCGTTATAAAGATTTCGAGTTTAAACAGTTGCGTTTGTAGTGTCAACTAAAAATACTTTTCTAAAAGAAAATGAAAAGTGGTATTAAAATGATTAATTACATTGATTATCTTAGTTTAAACCGAATGATCAATTATAAATTTAAACATGCAATAAGGATTTCATGATAAGTAATTGGGTAAATTATGTGTTTAGTTTTTAAACTATCAATTTTGGCATGTTTTAGTACCTTTCAATTTTTTCAAAACTATACCTAAAGTTTAGTTTTTGTTTCATTTTAGTATCACATTGTTAAAAACTTAACGCGTTTAGTACCTAAACTATTAATTTTGTTCTGTTTTAGTACCTAAATTTTCAAAAGAAATTTCAAATTTAAATGTTAAATTTTGAATAGGGTACTAAAATGAAACAAAAACTAAACTCTAGGTATGATTTTGAAAAAAATGAAAGTTTAGATACCAAATAAGACTAAAACTGATAATTTAATTACTAAATATGTAATTTACCCTAAATAATTTTATACCATACCTCTAGCGAGGAAGACAGTTGCTTTAAAGATAACTAATGCATTAATCTCTCATAAGAAAATAAATGCAGACTTCAATTTTAAACCAATAATTCACAATGAGATCTAAAAAATTGTTATTTAAGTTTCTCTTTTAGCAAACTGTCTGCTCTATATTTTTCTTCTGAACCCTCAGTTTTGTCTTTTGTATTATTAATAAGAAATTAATTAATTTTATTATTTTCGTCGGCCAAATTTTTTTTAAAAAAATTCCCACAACCAAATCTGTCCAATTTTTTCCTTTTAAATTTAATTTGAGCTCGTAAAATCTAGAAAACTATCGCTTGAAAACCACCATGATCAATTATCTATTTTTTTTCAATTAGAAAATTATTTTTCTATCAATAAGATATTAACACGTCATATAAAATTAGGTATTTATTTTGATAAAAAATATTTTACAGGCTTAAAGTAAAAAAATAGTATAATTTATAGATTTTTTAATTAAAAAATAATTAAAATATTTAAAGTGGTTGTATATAATAATTTAAATACTTAGTTTGACTATAGAATAATTGGGGTAATTGAAAAAACACATAGCTCAAGTATTTTTTTTAGTTTTGGTTTTTATAGTCAAAGGACAGCGTAGGGTAATGGAAATGGTAATGGTAATGGCAAGTTGGCAACTAGGCAAAGTGATACTTGTGTGGGACATTAGCCGGTAGGGTTTTCTTCACATACAATTAAGTTATGTGACCTTTTCTATTTTGGTCACATTAATTAAAAGGAAAGGTAAAATAGATATATAGTCACTCAATTATCTTCGTAGTTCCACTTTGGTTATCTAACTATTTCTTTTTCATAATCATCACTAAACAAACACTTTTGTTCTTTTTTTTTCACCCGTCTAAAAAAATTAACAGTAATATTGATGTATCATCATAAGATAATGTTATGCCATCGTTGAAAAAATGTCAAGTCAACAGTTTTATTTATTTTTTAACGATAGTTGACCAAAACATAAGAAAAACATAAGTTTAGGTATGAATTTAAAAAAAAACAGTTGAATGATCAAAACAAAATCACTAGAATAGTTGGGTGACTCAAGACACGATTTACCCCAAAAGAAAAGCCAGTAAGCTATTAGTTCATTTATGAGTATCTCCTCCCCTATATATATTTAGGCCTCTAAACGACGAACGCATATGAACGGAGGTATACTCATGTTCGTTTATTTAATAAATAAACGAACATAAACGATCAATTTTTTTTGTGCATGTTCGTTCATTAAGGAATATAGTTTGTTTATGTTCATTCATTTAAATGATAAACGAACACAAACGAGCGAACATAATAAATGAACATAAACGAAAACAAAAAATAAACTTATTCGAACACAACAAATGAATGTAAAAAAAATAAACAACAAGAATAACAACTTAAAATTCATTAATAAACCTGGAACTTTAGAGTTAATTTGTTCGAATACGATAAAAAACATACATAAATTATAAATAAGTTATATGAACATAATAAAGTCTTAAAGTTAATTTGTTCAACAAAACAATCTTCTTGAAATCCAAACAACTTCAATAATCTTTGTAACATATTCAACTTGCACTCTGTTCGAATATAAATAAACAAACATAAATGAACATAAATAAACGAACATATAATCGAACGTTCATGAACGTAAATGAACGAACGAGCCCTTTGTTCGTGTTCGTTCATTTAATTAAACGAACGTAAAATCTTGTTCATGTTCGTTCATTTAATAAATAAACGAACATAAACGAATTTCCCGCCGCACGGTTCATGAACGGTTCGCTAAACGTTTAATTCATTTACATGCCTATATATGTCCCATTGCAGGCTTTAGCTTATTAGGGCTGTAAATTCAAATCCAAGTATATTGTGTTTGCATGAATTAAACCTGTAACGTCGGTTCAAAGTTGTAAACATGAAAATTTATATTTTCTCAGTTAAATTTCTTGCGGTCGTATTTTATCTCTTAGAGAACGTTATACGATCCTACCAACAACTTCCTATTCCCGCAAATTACCACCAGATGCATCTGCACGAAGCCAGCGGCCCGGAAAGCATCGGCTTCGATTGTAAAAACGAAGGGCCCTACGTCGGAGTATCCGACGGGAGGATACTCAAATGGCAAGGGCTGAACATCGGCTGGAAAGAATTTAAATTTACTTCGCCCGACAGGTACTCTACTTACTTCTCTGAGCAAGTATTTGTACCCATCACAATTCTACGTTAATATTTATATTCAGATATATGTTAAGTAGCATGAATCAAACGATTTCAGTGATAAAAAAGATTGTTGTTATTCCTAAAGGGTCTTGGATCCGAGTATGTCATATGCAATGACATTTGAGAGCCTATCGAATATATACTATCTTATAATCATTGTAGACTACACACACGAGCATCAAACCAATAGTTCTTATCTCACTCCAGCGGTGGATCCATATATAACCTAGGCACATCCTCAAATTCGAAACTTTTTATGTTAGTTGTCCATTTTTATTAAAGGGGACAAAATAACAATAAAATAAAATTTTAAGGGATAGTTTTTATTAAAGACGATTTAAGAGCTAAAACGAGAATTCCAGGGCTAATTTGCTGGTAGGTCCAGCATTATTGGACCGTAGGCCGAGAGTAAGTATTTATATTATAGAAATATGAACTGGGCCTGGAGAATAGAAAATGTTTTTATTTTTTTTCCACCTTAATGAAATTGAAAAACCCAAAACCCTAAAAAAATATCCGCTGGAGAGCACCAGACATGGAATGAATTTCCAATTTTACCACTATTCACACCCGAGTCAGTTTGCTTTCCTTATTTTCTTTGCTTATATGTTTTAAAGAACGAGAACTGAAGACTTGAGAGCTCAAAACAATATCAATAAAGCGAAAATTTAGGTGTTCTTTTTGCCTCTCTTTTTTTGGAGTGATGGCGAATGTAGCTGTGGATGAAGATCAGCAATGGCTAATTAATTGCTTATCTGCTACTTTGGATCCTAATCAGGAGATCCGTTCGTTTGCCGAAGCTTCCCTTGATCAAGCCGCTCTTCAACCAGGTTCCTTTGTCTTTCTTTTTAAAATTCCCGCTTCATTTTCTTCTCTTTAACTTCTTTGCCTTTGAAATGCCTGATATTCGCCTGTTTTCGTTGTAATTTTAAACTATCTAATCGTTACTAGTTGGTTTGATAATCGCGTTTGGATACGGAAGAAGAACAACGTTTTTGTTAAGTGTTATTAAGGAAACGTTAGTGGATAGAAAACTGCATGATGATATTACCCTTAGTGTTACATTTTGATTCTTTTGTTCATTTTCTATCAATCATAACTTGTTTTTCCTTTTTGGTTTGCTTTATAGTGAGGTTTTAAGAAGAACAAGTGTCGAGGAATAGAGACTTAAGCCCGCTGATTAAGGAGCTTTTTTACAAGATCCTTTAATCAAGAAGGAGGTTTTTAACGAGGCCTTCAATTCCTATAAAAAAAAAGGAATAGAGACTTAATTGTCAAACTTGTTGTCATAATTCATAATTTTTTTTTATAAAAACGCTACAGACCAATAGAACCTAGAAAACTACTTCTAATGGCAGTAATTATAAACCAGTGATCTTTTGTTGCTTGCTTTTTGTTTTTTCCCCTCTAGATATAAGTTAAAGGAGTTGAGAACGTTGTGCAGTCAATCAAACGATTATAGGTTTAAAGAAACCAATAGATATTGAAAAGAAATTTCTTAAAAATAAATGAACTCCCTTGCTTTCACATGCAAGCAATGGAGGCTCGGATTGATAGGTGCTTCTTTGTTTGTTTTTTAATAGAAAGTGGAAAAAAATTGAATTCCAAAACAACATATAAATTATAAATAAATGATAGCTTACTTTTTGTAAAGCCTCTTGTCCATATATCTATGCAACAACCTTGTAAAAAATCAAATACAAACCTTGAATAAGGGCAACAATGACAGGTACTTTTGTCTATTGATTTTAGAATAGAAAATGACTTCATTTTGTTTCTTAAATCTGAGTTGTTTCAAGCTTTGCTTCTTGGTATGATAGCTTGTTTTATGTAAAAGTTACATTTCCGCGTCTCAAAGTCACAACTAAGATGTCAGGTTACATATGCACGCACCTATGTGTGTATAATGTGAAGTTTCTCTCCAGTTTACTCGCTTTTTTATATAAAAATAAAGTGTTTATTAACATCCTAGTAGCTTTGATTTGTTCTTAATCTAGAAAGTAACTTCAACTTCTATAGAGATGAAAAATCATGGTCATGGATGGCAATATTAAATCCCTTTTAATACCCTCTTTTAGTTATATTATTTCTCTCGTGTATTATAGAGTTTTTTATTGCTATCTTTTCTTGTCTTGATCTAAAGGTTTTGGCAAGGGATTATCGAAGGTTGTTGCAAATAGAGTTCTTCCATTTGGACTGCGTCAGATATCCTTTTTTGAATTTATTTAATTGATTCATTGACTATCTTTTATGAAATGACCATCCAGCTCAGTTGGTAGAGCACAAGGTTCTTAACCTTGAGGTCGTGGGATCGAGTCCCACGGAAGGTATTTCATAATTCGGAGGTCTCTTACGGAAGCTGCTCTCAACCTAGTGTTGGGGGTAGCCTACTATCTTACCTCCCCTTACCTCATATATATGGGAAAAAGGGACAGCCATTGACTATCTTTTATAATATTTGTTAATGAGTTCCAATACATCCTCATTTGATTTCCTAGTGATAGATTCACTCATTTCACACCCATTACTTGGAAATAAACTGTCAAATATTTCTTTAGTCTATTTTTTTTCTGTTTCATTTGCATAAAAGGTCTGCATATTATATTCCTGAACATCTTATTTCCTTCTTACTATTAGAAGAAAGAGAGAAAAAAACGGAGTCTTGCTGTTTCGTTCTTTTTCCTGATATTTGAAAGAAAAAGAGGGGTTAAATTTTCATGATCATCTCTAGATTGTCTTCTATTAATACAATGTGAGGGTTTTAGTCCTGTGAATCTTTAACACCTTCTACCTAGCTGCTCTCATTTTGAAGCAGTTCATCAAAAAGCATTGGCAGGAGGGTGACGAATCATTTCAACATCCTGCTGTTTCAAGTGATGAGAAGGTACATAATGAAATACGGCACTATTAAAATTCAATTTATTTCTTACTCTGTAAACCATTTCATTTTCTTTTGTGGAATTAAAAATCATACAGTTTTTTTTCTTTTAGTTATATACTTCTCATGTACTTTAATTTTGAATCCTTGCATAGTTTAGGCCTCGGTTAATTGGTGGAAAATAGCCTCTTCGTGAAATTTTTTTGGAAAACATTTTGTTAAAAAATAACATACATGTGTGTATGCTTTATACATATTTCTTTCCATATTTTTTAAAAATATGATTTCTTTTCTATCTCTATATTTGTTGCTACTTTATGTTTTTGTGTTTAGTATACCCTGTCGACCTTTATATTAAATCCATCATGATTATATTTTCAGGCAGTTATCCGCAGACTTCTTTTGTCAACTTTAGATGATCCTAGTCGGAAACTTTGCACGGCAATCAGTATGGCTATAGCATCTATTGCAGTCTATGACTGGCCAGAAAGTTGGCTAGACTTATTGGACTTCCTCCTGAAGTTGATTGGTGATCAAAGTGACTTGAATGGAGGTAACAAATCGAGCTTTCATCCACTAATTAATCCTGTTGCTTTGTTAATTAACCTTTAATGTTTCCTCATGTTTCAGTGGTTTGATCGTCACATCTTAGATGGTTTACTTAGATGCCTAGATGCCTTGTAATAAATTAGTTTTTATTGTCGGTTATTCTAACCCTTTTCATAAGGATCTATTAGTTTTAAGTGTGTTATCTGATGAAGGATTCATCGCTTGTTTAGCTTCGGTTTCTGTTCTGTTGAATGGTACCCCAACAAAGGAGATTCCGATGTCTCAAGGTTTAAGACAAGGTTGCAGCCTTTCTCCAATATTGTTCAACCTGGTTGGGGAGCTACTCAATCTAATGTTGATTAAGGCGGTAAATATGGGACTTTTTAATGGTTTTACAGTTGGAGGGTCAGCTTATTCTTGTCAGTTGTCGCATCTTCAGTTTGCAGATGATTTGATAATTTTCTGCAGTGCTTCCATTGCGCAAATCAGAAATGTTAAGCGAATTTTGAGAATTTTCAGCTTGATGGCCGGCCTGGACCTAAACCTATCGAAAAGCCATTTATATGGGATTAATATTGAAGAACCTACACTCTTAGATTGGGCCAACTCCATTGGTTGCTCTGCTGGTTCGTTCCCGACGGTTTATTTAGGTTTGCCGTTAGGAGCTAAGAAGAATTCAGAGGTTTTGTGGGAACCAATTCTACAGAGGTTTAATAGTAAATTAGCAGGGTGGAAAGCTTCGGCAGTATCAATGGCTGGTAGATTGGTCCTTTTAAAATCAGTCCTGACTTCTTTGCCGATTTTTTTCTTATCAATTTTCAAACTTCCGAATAAAGTCAGTCAGAAACTGAATTCGTTGATGGCTGGTTTTTTATGGGGGGACGGTTTAGAGAAGAAGCGCATTCATTGGGTGAATTGGCAAACAGTGTGTAGTCCTAGAGATGAAGGAGGCTTGGGGGTCTTAGATTTAAATCTAACTAATCGAGCTCTGTTAGGGAAATGGATTTGGAAATTTGCTATTGAAAAGGATACTTTGTGGAAGAATTTGATTTGTTGTAAACATAACATCGATAGTATGTCGGTTAGTAGTGCGTATTCAACACAAGACTCTTGGATTTGGAAAGGAATTGTTAATAGCTTTTTGAAGAATGATGCGACTGGTGAGAGGCTAAGATCTCATTCTAGAATCCAAGTGGGGAATGGCAAATCAATTTCTTTTTGGAATGATGTTTGGGTTGATTCTTCACCGCTGAAAATTCAGTTTCCGAGAATTTTTGTGTTGTCAACGAATAAATCGGGATGGGTAAGTGATTTCGGAAGTTATGATTCGAATGGATGGACATGGGATATTCGTACAAGAAGAAATTTAAGTGATTGGGAGTTGGAACAATGGCTGGAACTAATGATCAAATTGAACAACTTTCAGTTGTTAGAGGAAGTGGATGATTTTTTATCATGGACAGGGAAGGGCTATGGTTTGTTTACTGTCGGCTCATGTAGAAGGACGATTGGTAAAGGCTAGGTGGGTAATCCTCTTTGGAAAAATTGTGTATGGACAGGTTTGGTCCCTCCTAGGATCGAATCCTTTCTATGGCAAATTACTCATTAAAAAATGGCAGTTAAGTCCCAGCTGAAGAACAGGGGGTCCCGTTATCAGATGGGGAGCTTTGTCCGATGTGTTTATTATGTGTAGAAACGGTTCAACATTTGTTTATTGTCTGCCCAGTGGCTCATGAGATTTGGTATAAGTTTTTCAGTTTGTGGAACGTTAGCACAGCTTTGCCTGGGGATATTTCTACCCTTCTCAGTTCCTGGCCTGTTTTGGTGGCTAATTCACTGATCTGGAAATTAGTTCCAGCAGTGGTTCTTTGGTCGATATGGAATTATAGAAATTCTATTGTTTTCGATAAAATGGTTATGGACAGACTTTCACTTTTCTTCATCGTAAAGTTCAAGCTAGTTAAATGGTTTCTAGTAAAGTTCCATCAAGTGCAGATTCCGGTGGACTTGATAATATCTGATCCTACTTTAGCAGATGGTTTCAAGGGTCTTCACGCTACTAATAGGTCTGTCCAGAAATGGCTCCCTCCACCAGCTGATTTCTTTAAATTTAATGTCGATGGCGCAATCAAAAAGGATGGGATGACGGGCGGCATTGGGGGTATCCTCAGAAACCATAACGGTTTCGTTTTAGCGACGTTTTCAGAAAGCACAGGGCCAGGGCCACCCCCTCTAGCAGAGTTGAAAGCTATTAGAAAGGCTGTCGACATTTTCTACTCCTCTGTTTGGGCTTCAAAGGGCAGATTAATTCTGGAAACTGACTGCAAGAATGTAGTGGAGTGGGTCCACTTACCCAGTCTCTCTCCGGTGTTTTTTAGTAATTTAATCAAGGAAATTAAGTCTTATGTAATGTCCAGGGGTTTGGTAGTGCAGTTTATTCCTAGGTGTTGTAATTGGGAAGCCGACAGGTTAGCTAAGGCAAGGATTGGCCAAGTATTTGTTGTTTTGTAAAGGCTTATAATATATGCTTCTGTTATTAATAAATTGAGGTACTCTTTTCCTCCTTCCGCTGGTTAACCTTTTCCTATTCGAAAAAGTCAACTACGAAGGAGGTTTTTAATGAGACCTTCAACTTCTATAAAAAAAAAAAAAAAAGAGGTTAGTATAGAAATAAATCTTCTAATCTGATTATCTATTACTTTCTGTTTTCTGTCTTATATTCATTATTTTTTAACCCTGTTTTATCAAAGTTCCTTTGTGGTAGGAACTCTTTTCCTTCTATCTTCTTGGGTCCTTAGTTTATTTGTGTCGATTCTTTTGTGACCAATCATCATGCCTTTATACTTATTTCTAATGATTATCTTTTTTTTATATAGGAATAGTAGGCCTCATTAAAAACCCCCTTCATGATTATTTCTAATGATTATCTATATTAGCAAAGTATCAAATATTTTCAGTTTCTTTTAAGCTTTTTGGCTATGTTAATTTTCTCCTTTGGATTCATTGGACTAAACCTAAACCATTCCCAATTTTTGTAGTGCATGGTGGTCTTAGGTGCTTGGCTCTTCTCTCTGGGGATTTGGACGATACAATAATTCCAACATTAGTACCCGTCCTCTTCCCTCGCCTGTATACCATTGTATCTTCTTCTCAGGTCAGTTTTCTTTTGCTTTCATTGCGCTAATAGTAGCTTTAGAGTAGGTCTGTTCTTATTTTTTGTGTGTATTTCATTAATTTCATATGATTTTGATTCTTATCTTTAGAGATGAGGATTTTGGGGAAGTGTTCTTTTCAAGAGCCAACTAAGAGGGAGGTTTTTAATGAGGCCTCCTACTTCTATCAATTTTTTTTTTTGGGGAAGTGTGGTATTAGTGTAGCTCAGCATGTGTTCATTTTATGATTGCACATGATGCAGTTGCTGTCCGAAGAATGCTTTATATGTGCAATCATAACCACAAATTCAACAATTTTCAAGCATGTAATTTTATCATATTTGACCAAAATTAGTGATACAGCCATTCTCAAAATTCTTTTGTTATGAGTTGCACAGAAATCAAATAGAAACTCCTTACATTTTGATAAGACTTTCTTTTGCAGATCTATAACAAATATTTGCGCACAAAAGCCCTCTCTATTGTTTATGCTTGCACTTCCATGTTGGGGGCTATGAGTGGTGTATATCAGGTACACTTATGCAACCTATTTTTGTTTGTGCCGGATCTTGATATATGATTAGTTTAATTTTGTTGAAGTGTTAAACAGAACTAAGATATTTCTGTTCAGGTCGAAGCTAATGCATTGATGGAACCAATGCTTAAACCATGGGTAGATCAGTTCTCTCTTATTTTGGAACATCCTGTACAGCCTGAAGATTCTGATGATTGGAGCACTAGAATGGAGGTTGGTATTATGCTTGCATCTCCATCCGTTGTCATGTTTTGTACTCTTTCCTCATAACTCGATTTTCCCAGGTTTTGAAATGCTTGAACCAGTTTGTTCAGAATTTTCCTAGCTTCACTGAGAGCTTATTTATGGGTTAGTTGGCCCATATCTCTTTATATATTTCTTTTAGCATATTTTATGAATTTTAGTTTTGATGTTTTAGTACTAATGTTGACTTTCTGAGGTTCCATTTCTGCAGTTATTGTGGAGCCACTATGGCAGACTTTTGTATCATCTCTGAGAGTATATACACGATCAGCAATTGAGGGTACCGAGGATCCCTATGAGGGCAGTTATGACTCTGATGGTGCAGAGAAAAGTCTTGATTCCTTCGTTGTTCAGGTAATATTAGTGGCCCAAAATGAAAAGGTTGTATTTAGATGGATGTGATAAAAAGCTGCAGCAAATGTTCTAAACTTTAACTGTTGATTTTGATTGAAGAAAGTGGTAATGGACTTGTTTTTATAGCTGTGTTTAATTTTGGATTCTCCTAAAAATCTAAAATTGTGGTTTTCTGTCAAGTGCTCAAATATCAGTTGTTTCTAGTTTAATTCATCCCTACCTCTTCTTCTTTTGTTTGCATTTTGAACTTGCAGCTGTTCGAGTTCCTGTTGACTATTGTGGGTAGCACTAAATTGGTAAAGGTAAAGTTAGAAGACTCTATGTCTGTTGTCTTTAATTACTATTTCTAATTTTCTATTTTATGATTATTGACTATAATTTTATAAATTTGATCATGTAGGTCGTTGCAAATAATATTTCAGAATTGGTATATTACACTATTGCTTTTCTGCAAGTTACAGAACAACAGGTATTCATTCATTCTGTTATCAGAATGGACTTTGAATTGCATCTTATTTGGCTACCATCTTGAGAATTGTGAACATAGTGGCTTTATTCATCTTAATACAAACTTCTTGCTTTTTAAAGCAACCCTTTATTTTTTTCCTTTGTCACTCTTCTACTTTTTTTTTGATAGGAATGTAGGCCTCGTTAAAAACCCCCTTCATGATTAATGGAACACTAAGTGTTTCTCAATCAGCGGAAGGAGGAAAAGAGTGCCTTAGGATTCATTAAAAACCACAATATACATAATGGAGTTTTGCTCTCTTCAGTTTGTTCATCACCTCAACAATGCTGTCGTAGTAGTTTTCGTATTCTGCATGATTTACGGACCGATTAAGTCTTCATTTCTTCTATCCTTTTAGGGTCCTTTTCTTAGTATGTTGTTCCAATCCAATTTCTGCAGTACAATGCCTTACATCCTGATATCTCTACTCTTCTCTTTTTTATGAAACTAGTGGGGATGCCTGCCTACTAGTCATTAACTGTTGGTAAAATCAATTAAACTATTGTGGCTAGTTACTTCCAAAAATGTTATGAATCGCTTGCCTTGTATTTTAACTGTTGTAAGCTTGTTACGCACACAAGTCACTGGCCTTATGCATTGAGTGCAGTTCATGATGGCAGTTCATCTTTAAATATCTGTAAAATAGCTGAGCCAGGGGCGGAGCTCTGTTGGGTCCTAAAGGGGCCCCAGCCCCAGCCCCTGTAACATTTTATATATTTGATATATTTTAGTCTGATAGTATTTTGGTTCATGTAAAAATAAATATTTAAATTTAAAAATATAAGAATTTATTAAATATTTAATCAAGTAGAGCCGAACTAAAGAAGGATAATCACATGTTTTCAAATTTTTTTGGTCTGATAACAATTTAGGTCATTGTAAGTTCAAATATTATGCTCGAGCATATGTTCTTTTTTATAGGAATAGAAGGCCTCATTAAAAACCCCCTTCTTGATTGAAAGAGCTTTTAAAGAAGCTCCTCAATCAGCGGAGGAGGGAAAAGAGTGCCTTAAAATTTATTAAACCATAATAAATTACATAAAATACAACCAAGGGATATTTCCCAAAAAACCAAACACGAAAAACTACCCAAACAGCCCTGTACAACTCAATAGAGGCCTCTACTCTTTCTGGCATGAACCGATCTAGCACCTCTACTAAAAAGTGACACACTAAACTCCAGGAAACCAACACGAAACATTCACACACTATACTTTAAGCAATTAACCAATCTCCTCCTTAGCTAGCTTGTCAGCTTCCACATTGCAACTTCTAGGAATCCATCTCAGAACAATATCCTTAGCCGAAATGGACGCTCCAATTTCCTCCACCATGGAACTAAAAAAAACTGGTGTAGTGTTCTGATTAGAAGTCCAGTCCACTGCTGATTTACAGTCACTTTCAATAATTAATTTCCCCTTGTTAGCCCATTTCGATGAAAAGAAAAACACAATCCCTTCCTTAATAGCTTTCAACTCTGCTAGAATAGGAGTTCCAGGCCCTACCGGTATTGAGAAAGTGGCTAAGGTAATAGCGTTAGAATCTTTCAAAATACCACCAATACCACCTTGCAACCTATCCCCTCTTACCGCCCCATCAACGTTTAGTTTGAACATATCTAGAGGCGGTGGAGTCCAACAAATAGTCTTCTCCAGAACATGAGAATACTGACACTTGTCTGCAATTGTAGGGTCCCCAACTAAGATATCCGAGTTGATACGAACCAAAGGGTATTTAGCTAAAAATCATTTTGCCAATCTAAATCTGGTGAGGAAGAACAAAGAAGAAGTGTCGACCTTCCAATTTTCAAAAACAACCAAATTCCTAACCTTCCATATTGACCATAAGACAACCCTCGGGATGAACTTCCAAATATAAGAATTCTTCCTTAGAAACGACCAAGATCATAGAATTGAAATGGGGTCTTGAGGTAGAGCAGTAGAAATTTCCCATAGCCTAAGGAATTTGATCCATAACTCCCCTGCAACCACACGAGAAGAAAAGGTGTCCAACAGATTCCTCGTGCAAATGACACAGTGGACAAAGACCGTCTTCCACAGGAATACCTCTCTTCTTCAACTCCTCTCTAACTGCCACTTTACCATGACACAGCTGCCAAAGAAACGTTTCCACTCTTGGAGGAGCCAAACCATTCCAAACCCACTTATTCCACTCGAACGTAGCTTCTGAACTGCTGCAAAAAGACATCCTACATGACTTGACCGAAAACATACCATCTCCTTTCCCCGACCACCCAAGAAAGTCATCCACAGAATCCGACAAAGTTACATTTTCAATCAAAGACATTAATGCAATCCACTGATCCAGTTCCCAATCAAGTAAATACCTTCTTAACTGAATGTTCCATACCCAACCATTCTGCTCAAAACCACCAAACTTAGCTACTGTCCCCCGCTTATTAACCGATAAGGCAAAAATTCGTGGAAATTGTGATTTTAAGGTTGAGTCGTTAATCCACACATCATACCAAAAAACTATTGATCTGCCATTACCAAGATGAATCTTTGAATTAGCTCTCAAACATTCCCCAACCTCATCGTTTTTGACATAGTTATTAAGAATTGCTCTCCAAATCCATGAATCAAGTGGAGAATTAGCCTTTGTTATTGAGAGAGACAAGTTACTAACGTTGCTCTTGCAGCAAATCATCTTTTTCCACTGACTATTTTTATCATTTGCAAATTTCCATACCCATTTCCTAAGCAAAACTCTATTGATCAACCTCAGGTCTAAAATTCCCAACCCCCCTTCGTCCAATGGTTGACAGGCCGTTTTCCAGTTTACCCAGTGAACCCTTTTCTTATCTGAAGCATCACCCCAAATAAAATTCGCCATTAAGGAATTCAACTTCTGCATGACCTTTACTGGAATTTTAAAAATTGAGAGGTAAAACATAGGCAAACTGGACAACACAGACTTGACCAGCACTATTCTTCTAGCCATCGACAGAGAATTAGCTTTCCAGCCTGCTAATCTCTTGTAAAAATTCTGAACAACCGGTTCCCACATACCCTCAGAATTCTTCTTTGAACCAAGAGGCAAACCAAGGTAAGTCATAGGAAAGGATCCCACTCCACAGCCCGCCATCGTAGCCCAATCTAATAAGCTGACCTCTTCCACATTAATGCCAAACAAAGAACTCTTGGACAAATTTAAATGCAGCCCTGACATCACACTGAAAATCCTCAAAACTCTCCTAATATTTAGGATATGAGTAGAAGAGTCTTTGCAGAAAAGTATGAGATCATCTGCAAACTGAAGGTGAGTCAAATGGAAAAAATTATCGCACCTGCCAATACTGAACCCTTCAAAAAGACCCAGATCTGCAGCCTTGATCAGCATTAAATTTAAAAGTTCCCCAACTATATTAAACAATAGAGAGGACAAACTGCAGCCTTGTCTCAAACCTTTTCTAATCTGAAATTCCTCAGTTGGAGACCCATTAACTAACACCGAGATTGAGGCTGAAGAGACACAACACTCCATCCATGAAATCCATTTATCACCAAAACCCATAGCCTTCAGTAATCTGAAAAGAATCGGCCATTCAACAGAATCATAGGCCCTACGGAAATCGACTTTGAAAACAACTCCATGCCTCCCTTGTTTCCTCCAATAATCAATGCCTTCATTAGCCAAAAGAGCGCAATCAAGCAACTGCCTACCCGGAATAAAGGCAAACTGCGAGGGGCTAATTATATCTTTAATAATAGCAACAAGTCGTTTCGACAGCACCTTAGAAATGATTTTGTATAAGCTACCGACAAGGCTTATTGGTCTGTAATCTTCAACTTCCTCGGGATTGAGTTTCTTAGGAATTAGCGTAATAAAAGAATGATTAATCCCATGTTCCCATTTCCTACCACAATGGAAGTCACGAACGAATTTCATAATATTATCCTTCAAGAAAATCCAATTTTTTTTGAAGAATCCCATAGTATAACCGTCCGGACCGGGTGCCTTGGAATTATTCGAGTAAAAAATCGCTTCCCACACTTCCTGTTCCGAGAATTCGACCTCAAGACCCTCCTTTTGCTCTACCGTCAACTTAGCAAAATCCATATTAAAATTATCCACCTCTAAAGTAGTTTTTGCATTATAGTTTTTGGGTGTTAATTATCTCTTATAAATAATTTAAGTATATCGGGGGGGTTGATTACCATGTGGAATGAAAGTGTGGTTCAAGTCTTTCACCAGCATGTTCACAGTAGGTTTTTGGCAGTAATGGGGAAATTGATGAATGGGCAAATGGAGTTTGTTTTTATAAATGTGTATGGGCCTTCTATCGAATCAGAAAAGGAAGAGTTTTATGGGGAGTTGCTGCAATTAGTAATTTCTCAGAATTTACCAGTATGTATTGGGGGAGATTTCAATGCGTATATTGATACGGATGAAAAGCAAGGGAAATCACAAAATTGGAATTCAATCGATATTCTTAGATCCTTTGTGCAGCAAGCAAATCCCATTGATTTGCCTTTGTCAGGAGGTGCTTACACGTGGTGCAATAATAGAGAATCTTCAACTTGGGTGAGACTGGACCGGTTCCTAATTTGTGTCAGATTTCTTTACAGTTTTCCCAATGTTACTCAAAGTCTTCTTCCGAAGTCGATTTCAGATCACAATCCAGTTTTGTTGGAGGATGTTTCTATTAATTGGGGGCCAAAACCCTTTAGGTTCTTTAATTTTGTTTTAGAAGAACAAGGTTTTGATGAATTGGTAGAAGAATCACTGTCAGTAGAGAAAAAGAAGAAGAATAGAGGGGGTATTTTCAGGTTGTTACAGGCTGCAAAAAATAAAATCAAAATCTGGCCTGGTAGTTGTCACAGAGGACTGGGTGAATCCATCTCGCAGCTGGAATTTAAAATCAGTGCTTTGGACAGAAAATCTCAAGGTGGAATTTTGTCTTCAGGGGAGTGGAATCAGCTGATTGAGTGTAAAAA